CACATTAAAGCAATGGTTTGGATCTTTTGACATGAGGTTGGACTTTATTTAGTCTGTGTTTTACCTACAGAATATAGTAATGGGTGTTGACCCAGTTTGGAGAAGCGAGCAAAAATATCGACCCGGGAGCAAAGCAATGGATTATTTAGCTGCCTAAAACAGGTTCTACTTATACAAATCAATATCAGTCATAGTGTACACTATATTTAGCCTATTTTCTCTGCTTAACCTTGGCATCAGAAAGCCCTACGTGACGGGGAAGTAAAGCTGTTATCTATGCTCTCTTCAAAGCCACCAGACTGCACCAACAAAAACAGTAATTTTACCTTCCAGAACACCATGAATCAAAACTAGCCAAAGGCAAACACAAACCTACTAACCAGTCAGGAAATGGTAGAACAGCAAATCCTTTCTTCAGGACGGTTAAATTGTCAATGGAGTCTGGTGGCCTCAAGAAAGGAACGAGTTCAGTTCCCCGTCGCAAAGGGCAAGGTAAAGTGGTTCAAATATTCTAGATATAGCTTACAATTAAAGTGCTCCTGATTTATTTTATAAGTAAGCCATTTCTTTTAAAAGAATTATGCTGCAGCGGATGGCAGCAATGCCTGTCTGTTTCTCCATCTAAGGGCAGGATTAGATGACAGCCTATAACCTATACAAGCCGACTGTTCAGTCATATTTTAATTATTATTTACTGTGACCCCCTTCATAAACTCTTTTATATCTTGTTTATCTGCCATGAGGAAGATGAGCTGCAGTGTCAGCAAACCTGAATAAGTGCTCCACACTATAGGGATTCTTATGTGATGTCTAAACAGTCTGTTTGGGACTTTGTACATGATCTCTTTAGGTCATTTGACTACACTGAGCTCTCAACCCCCAACCGTCACTGTGCTCATCCACATGTGTCAGAGAGGAGGGGGAGAAAACGAAAAGCTCAGCGTTTCAAGTGTTGACCGTTTGTACCAAGTGGGCAGATTTATATCTACGTGGCGCGGGTTCAGAGTGGAGGGAATAACACTTTTGAATGCTCAGCCGAATGGGCAACAATAGCTGTGGTGTGCAAACAATGTGGCCCCGGCTCGGGCAGCGGACACAGGACACAGCTGCCAAGGCTCCAGGCTCCGGCTCTCAGGCTTTGGCACACATGACATTCTCATAGATTCAATGAAACACAGCAGGGGTCTAAACATTTCATTAGGGCTGCACGATATTGGAAAAAACTGATCTTTTTTTCCCCCTGCGATATATATTGCGATATGAAAAAATACAGGAATTGAAGAAAAGACAGTTTTTTTTTTTTTCGCAAACCATCCTTTCTTGAACTTTAATGCTATACAATTAGTATTTCTTTAACAATATTTAACCGGATGAAGGATTTTAGTCACGGACGTCTGGATCTTAAGTTATCAGAGCAACAAGCTGAGCTAGCTCGGTTAGCAGCGCCAAACTGCCCTGGAGAAACACATGAAACTACTTTATTCAGTGTTTTTACCTTTAATCACCGGGTCCGTTTGCTTTGTAGATTTGATTGTGGTTTGCTGTCACTCACTCAACCCCTGACATGAGAGCCGCGCAAGTTTTCCTTTTGTAGCAAGCAGCAAAATAATTGTAACATGACGTGTTTGAGTTAATTTGCCTACTTAATATCGCACGTCCTAAAAATAAATAAATAAAAAATAAAATAAATAAATAATAATAATTTTAAAAATCGCACGTCCTGCAATGTGAATATCGCACATGCGATTATCGTCATGACATGATATATCGTGCAGCCCTACATTTCATGATCAATGAGCAGTCTAACCATGAGGTTATTGTTTCGGTACTGGACTCAAAAGAGTGGTTCATGAATGAAACCCCGGAAATGTATCAGCATTTTACCACTAAGGTTCTTCTGCCGTTCCCTCTAGTGTTTACTTCCTGTCCTTCTTCTTCTGCCGTTCCCTCTAGTGTTTACTTCCTGTCTTTCCTCTTCTGCCGTTCCCTTTAGTGCAGGGGTCGGCAACAGGCGGACCGCGGTCCGGATCCGGACCCAGACGCCGACCTATACGGACCCGGACCTATAATCAATACATTAATAGGGGAATTCAATTTTGACAGGGCGATTCTATTTTAACCGCTGCCGACAGGGGGCAAAAGAGACGAGTGAGCGATACAGGGAGAGAAACACAGAAGAAGAGACGAGAGAGCGGCAGAGAGAAGCGGAGAGGAAAGTGAACAGGCGTGTTAGCGGCAGACAGGGAGAGACAAATAATGACACATGGCGCTCTCCAAGAAGAGGAAAGTGGACAGTGAGAACAGGGCTTTTAACCCTGAGTGGACGGACTCATTCATGTTCATCCTGCCCACTGGGAGCACAGAACCAGTGTGTCTCATTTGTTCAGAGACCGTGGCGCTCATTAAAAGTGCCAAAACGCCACTATGAGACAAAACACAAAGTGTTTGACCAAACATTCCCTCTCAAGTCAGAACGGAGGTCACAAAAAATAAGCAGTCTCAGAGCCCAATATGATCAGTCCACCAGGATCAAAATTAAAAATAAATATCGTTCCAGCGCAGGCTAACCGAGGCTAACCAATGAGCACCTGCATGTGTGTATGAGAATGGCCCTGACACCATTTCAGCCCAGATTTAAACTCCTGGCAGGACAAGCTCCAGCTCAATTCTCGCACTGAATTAAAACAAAGTGAGTGAGGGACTGCAATATAAGAGGGAAAGAAAGAGAAACTTTAAAACTGTTCAATTATTAGGTCATGATGTGAAACGGTTAACAAAGAAAAAGGGAAACTCAAGCTGCTGCTACACTTTATTTTATTTATCTCAAATTAAGCACTTTTAAGATGCACATATTTTCAAAAGCTATTTTATTTTCTCCTATTTTATTTTTAAATGCAGCCCGAGAGGAACATTACACATATCCACAGTATGTTACTGTATATCTGTATAGTTCAATGTTAATTGACAATAAATATTGTTGTTTAAGAATTGTACTTTCTTTATTTGATTGGCAGTCAGTTGTTGATTACATGCAGACGTTGATAAAGCTACAGGCTACTTCAATATATATCACACTAATTCATAAAGCAACTTAGACATTTTGATGTTCCGGACCTTTGCATGGGGACATTTTCTCTAACTGGACCTCGTTGAATTTTAGTTGAATACCCCTGCTTTAGTGTTTACTTCCTGTCTACTTCTGTTGATATTTCGGAAGTCCAGCACTTTTTACCTCTTTCCTTCTCTTGTTCTCTTTTTCTTTCTTTTTTACTAGGAACAGTTTTAGCCATCAGGAATCCAAAGTTGTGTGCTCTCCACAACAACACAAAGCATTCCATTGTGTATTCTGAGGGAGAAATCTAGTGTATGTTGTCCACAGCTAATGTTCAATCTGCAGAACTTCTTTCTGCAGATTGATATAACTGCTCATAGTCCCTTCCATATTTCATCCTTAGCAACAGTCTGTTCTCCTTAACTTCAGTCTGCTAGCGAGAATTAACTACCTCTGAATTGTCCAAGTTGACCAATCAGAATCATGCATTCAACTGATCCATTTAATATCAGAACTTAACACAGGCTTCACGTTTTGTACTATGACATCAAATATCCCAGTAAATACCCCACTCCTACATTTCCAAAGATTCTATGTGTCTTAAATAAGGGGGGGCTAACACGTTTCTAAATTAAACTCATGTGACTGTGATGTAGTACTATTATATCCCTACATTATCTTTTTTCTCCATTCCATTTACCATTCAGAAATGATAAAAGTGATGTTAATATGTGAAGATTATGTGATTATGTGATTGTTGGTGGGGCAAACCACTTTGAGGTGGTAACTGAAATGTGTTCTTACTGTGTGAACTGTTTTCCTGATAGTTTGGTCTAAAATATTTAGTGAAGTAGTTATCATTATCTATCTCTAGTTCTCTGAACACAACATGTCATCTTTAAACTGCTTGTTTTGTCCAACAGTATATACAGTATATTCAATGTTATATCATAAAGGAATGAGACAATTTAGGCAATTCTATTATTCATCATTTGGTTGAAAACATTTCTCTATGGTTCAATTAATCTGATAATTAAGGATTTGTTTCAGCTCTAGTCGAAACCCTTTTCAGTTGTATGGTAGTCAAAATGGTTGATACTCTGAATTAAACCTCCAGAATGTCATAAGATCAGTGAAGAGTACATTGCCTATTAGGAGAAAGCCCAAGGAGGAGCTGTTTTATCTTTAAGCTGCCTCTCTGTTAAGACATTCTGTACTAGTCAATCTAAATCCTGACAGATGGGGCTCCTCAGGGAAGAATCTCATCTGTACTTTAATTGTAGCTTTTTGACATATGAAGGCTTAGGGAGCCTCTGACTAAGATTCATATCTCCCTTACAATATCAGCTCTGCTGTATTCACCATTACACCCGGGGCAGACACATACATTCTATTTCTCTCTTTTTATTACCCATAAAATCGAGACCCAGATCCTTAATTTGGATTAGTCTTGTCTTGTGCTCTAACCTCAAAATAGGAGCTGTTGACACATGCAGGTTGTTGCCTTTGATATGCCGTTGCAATGCAATCAACCAACCAGAATCTAAAGAGGCCCTGTTATGCTTTATGGGGTGCCTGTTATTTAGGTTTTTGTGCATGTTAATTGTCTGCAAAGGCTCAACTCCCAAAGAGTTTCCCTACCACACACAGTTCTTTAACATTATGTTCCTGAACATAGGCTTTTCATATTTATATTGTTTCCTTATCTGTTGGTTATTCCAAATGTGTATTAGAGTGGCAGGTTGTGTCTTTGTCTATGTATACAATAGCGACTCACAACACCTAATACTAGTATCATATGTTCAGATCTAGAGTCTGAATGTCACTGTGTATGTGTTGAATGTAGCAGCTATAAAATGATACAAGTATGTCCAGTCCTTCCCTGTGTTTATTTTATAAATATGTCAACTCCTAACCCTCTTCCTGTTCCTGTTTTGCTGTGTTGCAGGACCGGAATCGGCCCTTTGATGCTTTTAGCTTGCACTCTTTGGAGAATTCCTTAATGGATATGATAAGGACTGACCATGACAAAGGTAAACCACACCCTGCCGGTGGCCCACCAATGACTATCGCTGATATTATATGGAGGAATCATTTTGCAGGTTAGGAATATTCATACGTCCATGCTTACAGTATTTGGGTTGTTATTTTGCTTCATGAGCATTTATCATCTCTGGCACATTTGCTTTTCTTTTGCTCTCTTTTGCCAATCTTTTAACCAATACACTACAGATAATCACGTTCTGTTTTAAATTAAATAATTATAAGCCTTACCTGCAAAATCTTTTGTTTATATATATATATATGTTTGTGTTTGTGTGTGTGTGATTCTGTTGTGTTGTGACCATAAATATTAAGTGATTGGGTATATTTGTGGTTTTCCTCAATGGAGAACAACCTTTATACACTGTTCTTTCTTAACAGTGATTCATGCTTAAATGAATGAACATTGCACTGTTCTCCTGGAAATGTATGATATCATGGAAACATGTTAAGACATCACCCCCTTTTAAGGCCATCCAATGTATATCAGCCCTTCTAGGCCAATATTATTGCAGCACAGGTCATGTGACCGTTGTAAAAACTTTGGATCCAGTCTCCCTGATGGGGCCCTGTCAGGTTGGGTGTAGGTTTTTTATGCTCCCCCGTCCTCCCATCTTAACAATGGAAAGATTGGTGGGAGGGGTTTAATGAGCAGAGCACGTTGCTTTCTCATGCGTGGAGTCTGTTTTCCCAATCTCGTGCTGAGAGGGCATTGTTACAGCAAAATGGATCCTCCCAACTCGACCTCACTTCACTGGGAAGGTGTTGTCATGTCCTGATGGGCTTCCCCTGTGTTTACCAAGGAACAACAGAGATATGGGGAAAGACAGGGTGGGTGGTGCATGGATGTAGGTGTGCCGGCCTGCACCTCTGTTTGGATGTTTACCCGTCCTGCAGTCATGTAGACAGCGTGGGTCTGCTGTAAGCTATCATGCTAACCACAGAGCAGCTCCACCCTGCTAGCTTACCTACACACTAAATAAGGACCCTCTTCTGGAGAAAGAATAGCTGCTGGTGCTTCATTCAACTCAGATCAGAACTTGTATAACAAAAATGGGGAAAGAGTTTTGCCCAAAGGGTCTGGATCATTGTGTTGTGTTGAGCTTTGGGGTGATAACCTTGTTAATTTCCCACTCATTAAAACACAAATGTTTGATTAGTGTCCATACAAGGGATCCTGGAGTAATTTGTTGAATTTCTGTCTTTGAATGCACAAATTGTCTACATCCATATGTGCCAGTATAAATATAATGCCTGGTCGATACAGGGAAAGGGATAGATTATAGGAAAATGTCTTGACTAGCTATATCCCAATAATTGAAAGATTGCAGCAAACATGTCATTTAGCGTCCCAAATGTGGCAGTACCAGTTGGGTTTGGTCAGAATGTAAAGGCATGGTCCAGTTCCAGGTTAACCAGTTAAGCTTACAGAAAAGCCATTTCATTTTTATATGATTTAACCAGCCTGACATTGTGTTGCATGATTTCCTGTTGTTGAGTTTAGTTTCGCCGTAGCTAGTCAGCTGTGAGAGAAAAATCAACATATGTAGTTGGTGGTTAGTAGTTTTTTGGGATGTTAGGGTTGATTTTTTGCTTCGGAGAGTAACGTTATCCAGGCTGCTAACGAAAGCCGTGTTGCTAACGATAGACAGTACAAACAAGAAGATTGATCTTCTTGTTCGTACAACAATGGAGAGATTGTTTTGTGACAGACGTCTCTGTATTATATTGCCGTATGTATGGAAAGAGATGATGCCCTGTGTTGTTGGTATCTCTGAAGAAACCAGAAAGTGGTCTGACTGCGAAAACAACCATAATACCATTTGGGGAACACTGGGAGGGGCTTACATTTACTTCATTTCTTTGAAAACAAAATTCCACCATAAAGATGAAATAATATGTACATTTAAGTTTGAAAACATACATGGTTTCGAAGCCCCCCCTTGGCAATTGTTTATTAAAACCAACCACGTCGAGACTAAATAACGTGACAAAACATGTTTTTTTTTTAATGCTAAATTGTTTCCTAAACCAGATACCATCATAGTTTGTTCATCATCTCACTTTGGGGATACTGCTCACCAGCTCATAGCCACCAGTCAAAACTCATTAACCCAGTAGGCCCAGTTTTGCATTCCCAACTGAATGGGTCCCCACCCACATGCATCCCATCACAGACATTTCTCGCATACTTCTCATTGTGACTGAAATATTTGTTTTTCCTTGAGTGTTTTAAGAGTCCCTGTTTGTTGTGTGTGTGTTTTTCGAAAGAAGAAGTTCTGTTGTGCAAATATGAATCGGTGTGGGGGGGGGGGAAGAGAGAGTGTGAGGTGCCCCCACCCGCACACCCCTCTCTTTTTCTGTATGTCAAGAGAGGGAGGAGGGCGAGGCCGTCTTGATTTGACCAGTTTTCTTCTAAGCACTTGTTCGGAGAAGAGTCAGTTTTAAAGGGTGTGTGTGTGGGTTAAGGATTAAGGAGTATCAGGGCAAAACATATGTTGAAAAGATAATTGGGCAAGATATATATTTGTTGCATGTCTAATAAAATCTTAAAGGTGGGGTAGGTAAGTTTGAGAAACCGGCTCGAGATACACTTTTTATATTCCATGGAATGCTCTTAACATCCCGATAGCAATGAATATCTTAAGTGCTTTGACAAAAAATCCATAAAAAAATGTCATCTGTGGAAGCCGTAGTACTGTAAAAAGCACGACCAATCATTTTAGCCGGCTCGGCTAAAATAACTGGATGGCCTACCTGCCTGTCAGCTTTCCATCTGTGCACAAACTTATCTCGTGCCCTCATTGGTCATGTGCGCGTTCGTGTGTGTTGGAGGAGGGGCTCTGTAAGGAAGTGGCAGATTTTCTCCGGTTGTGTATTTTCAAATTCTAGCGATCTCGAGCTGGTTTCTCAAACTTACCTACCCTACCTTTAATGTTGACAATAAAGTTTAAATACCATTTTAACTTTAAGTTAAAAAAAATGTTGAACATAAATAAACAAACTGCTAGCATAAGTTCTTACGTTGGTTTTTATTTAAAAGAAAAAAGCCTTCTCCTAATTTGTTTGCCCTAGTAGTGCGCGTGTTGTCCGTGAGAGAACTTTCTGAAAGCTCTTCACTCCTGGGCAAGGGGCCGCGGGGACATCTGAACAAACGGGCCCTTTCTGTAGCCACACACACACTGGTCTGCATGTAGTTCCTGAACTGGGTCAGCTGAGCTCACGTGTGGAGAGCCAGGCACCCCCACATAAACACACACTCTCCAGAGATTCTCCCCTTGGCCCTGGAAAAACACCACCAGTCTGACAACAGCCACTAGCGCCGCTGCAAGCAATATCGTCACTCACACGCAGGATACACACATCCAAATTGTTTCTGACATGTAAATCAGCTGTGACATTCAATGCAAAGCGCTCTCACCTCACGCACACCTTTTCCAATTGTTCTCTTTGGCAAAGACGACTCAGCAGACATAACACTCACACAACCTCGATGGTGTCCGTAACAATTTAAATGACTCCAAAGTCCCTTAAGTCTTCATTGAAGCTGTGTGTGGATGCCACCCCACCCACTAAGTCTCTCCCTCCACACACACACACACACACACACACACACACACACACACACACACACACACACACACACACACACACACACACACACACACACACATACACATACACATACACATATACATATACATATACATATACATACACACACACACTTCAGCTGGTCTGACTCACATGATCTAACTCATGCGTCAGTTTCGATTTGCATTGTCTCTGTGTCGGTGCAGCTTTTAGAAGATTAAACTCCATCAACTCTAACGAAGAATTTAAGCCTGAAAATAGAGCTTTAGCTTCTGGCTATCAGGTCATTTTACAATTTCATTTTACAATCAAATTGAATGAATAGTTAGACATATTTGGAATGTAGCTTTTTTTGCTAGATGAATAAGAATTGACCATCCTGATTGAAGTACAGTAAATATGAAGATACTGCCAGAAGCTACTTAGCTTAGCCCACACAGGCTTAGCCTAAATACTGAAAGAAGAGGAGAATAGCTAGCCTGCGCTAATTCCAAAAGTAACACAAATCTGCCTACCAGAACCTCTATAGCTTATAAATTAATATGTTGTATTGTGTTTGTATAATTCATTCAAAAGGTGTGAAAATGAAATATTGAGGTTTTACGGGGGTTATGTGTAAGACTGTTGCTTTGATAGGGGCTAGTGCTTATCTAAGCTAACTGTCTCCTCATATTTCAACACAGTCTCACGGCATTTCGTGTTATAGTCACAAAATTAATCTATTGATTCGTGTTCACCAACACGATTTTGCAATTTGTTTTCGTGTCACAATGTAAGCAATGTAAATAATAACAAATTAGAAGGAAAAACAGATACAAAAAAATACAGATTTCAGTATTCTGACTCAGAACGATTTTAGAAGCAATGTATTTATATTGGTAGTATGTTTCGTGCTTGCACCAAATAATAACAAATTAGAAGAAAAAAAATATGACAAAATACAGATTTCAGTATTCTGAGGCTCTGAGCCATTTCTTTTCCTCACTGACGGCAAAAAAACTCCGACATTATACAATTTAAAATAAAAGGGATAGGGTTAGGCTTAGGGTAAGATATTGAGTAAGAACATGTTTTTATGAACCACACAGCTTCTGGTATTCCAAGACCCGACCGGACAAAAAGACGTGTTGCAGGCACGAAACATACTACCAATAGAAATACATTGCATTTAAAATCGTTCTGTGTGACACGAAAACAAAGTGAAAATCGTGTTGGTGAACACGAATCAATAGATTACATTTAATTTCGTGACTATAACACGAAATGCCGTGAGACTGGGTTGCATATTTAGCGTACAAGTAGAGTGCTATCAATTTAACTCTTAGCAAGAAAGACAATAAAGAAATTGTTTAAGGTTATCTGAAATCCACTTAATTTGAAAGTTTATTCTTAAATGTTAAAACTATTTTATTAATTGTTGCGTGAATCGACTTTTTGATTATAGATCACCAACTAGTGTTTGTTC